GTAATTGGTCGCCGGAAACCAAACTCCCAAATCCTCAAAGTTCACTGCACCAAGGAACTCAGCCCATGGCTCACGGTCGGACAAGGGCTGAGGGAGAGCCAAGGACACCGCAGGACGCCCCTGAGAATGCCCCAATTTGGACGCAGGACAGTGTTCTTGAGAAACGAGCCTCAGAAGACGTTTGACATAAAAGCGGAGGAAAAGGGTCTCGGGTGGAGAGATGCAACAGAGGATTTACTCACCCCCATTTTTATGGCTTATTCATAGCTCCTGGGCGCGGGAGCGAGAGCGCAGGCACGTTTGGTAGGAAGTGAGGAAGGAAATGCTCGTTCACTCAAGAATGTTATTTGTATGTGGAGAGACGGGGAGGGGGCACAAAAAGGTCTTTTCGGATATTGGCAAAAAGTCCCGTGGAACCCATTTCCCAGGTCACCCAGGAAGAACTCGTAGCGACGCCCGCTAGATTCTTAGGCGAGTGAGGCACCGAGAACCGACGCCCAAGAAGCTGCGCGACCCCTGCGCGCGCAGCCCTTTCCCGCGCGCGGCGCCTCACGTGTTCAGGCCGTACCACATGACAAATAGGCACAGGGGCGCACCACCCTTTGTTTTTCTTATAGTGTCGTTACTTGCTACAATAACCCTTTCTCTTTCGTTTTCACTTTGTTTCGCCAAGTAGCTATTATCTTGGGTCAAACATGCGCTCTCTACTAAGCAAGATACAGGCTTCTCTACCCGTATCTTCCCCTCAAACCCCTCCTGTGGTTTAAGCTTCTGGCCCGCCCCACTTGTCCCGGCCAACCCTTGCTAAGTTTCTGCATAGACGTCATGAGTTTCTAGGCAGATCAGGAAATCCTCCGGCCAGGCGCTCCCTCGCGCGCCCCCTCCTGGCGGTGCCTCCCAAACGGTCTGAGCGCGTGCCGGGTTTCTGAGAGCGGCGCGGGCGAGGCAGCGGGGAAGGCGAGGCGGTCGAGCCACCCGAGAAGTGACCGGAGCAGCGAGCAGCGGCGCTCAGTGAGGATTTAGGTCTTGCTTTGTGTGCTTCGGTTCGTGCCGGTGTCTCCTCCCGGCTTTTCCGTCAAGTCTGCGGAGGTCTGGCCTCGTGTGGCGGGCTTCGCCTTCTCACACGGTAGCGGCCCGGAAACCCCCGAGGAGCACTCGCTGAAGTATTTTTTTTCCCCGCGTTTTTTTTTTTTTTTAAGATTTTATTTATTTATTTGACAGAGAGAGAGAGACAGCGAGAGAGGGAACACAAGCAGGGGGAGTGGGAGAGGGAGAAGCAGGCTTCCCGCTGAGCGGGGGAACCCGATGCAGGGCTCGATCCCAGGACCCCGGGATCACGACCTGAGCCGAAGGCAGACGCTTAACCAACTGAGCCACCCAGGCGCCCCTGCCCGCGTGTTTTTAATGTTTTCCAATATCGTCTGCCTTCAAAGGCCTTCCGGGCTTGTCGGGCCGAGAGCGTGAGAGCTGCACTGTGCGCACGCGAGACAGGAGGCTGCTTCCGAGCAGGAGCGGGCCTCGCGCGCCGTGTCCGAGCGCCGGCCGCAGGCCCTCCCTCCAATATTCGTAACTACTGTATCTGCTTGGTCCTTCCGTCCCTTGGAGCTGGCGATGCCCTGCCCTCCCCGGGGCGAACAGACCCGGCGGGGTTGGTAGACTAGCAGGCCTGGGAAGGGAGTGAGAGCGGCAGAAGGGGGCGGCGACCTGCGAGACGAGAAAGCGGGAGCACGGGCCGCGGGTAGCGGGCTGCGGCCTGGGCACTGGGGGTGGGAGGCAGGGAGGTGGTGCTGGGCCCCCCTCGCGAAGGTATCCTGAACCGGGGCGGGGGGGGGGAAGGGGGGTTCCCCAGAGCAGGAAGCGAATTCCAGGGAATTCGAGAGAAAAGAGCACAGAGGGTGGGGTGGGACTCACGTCTGTGTAAGATGCTGCAAGAAACGCTGGAAGAGCCCCAGACTTGGACTGGAAGTCCAGGTTGGCTACAGCGCCAGAGCAATCCTAGCAGCAGATCAGTGTTTGTGGCCCTCCCCTCAACTGCCTGCGCGCTCCCCTGCAACCCTTTAGTGGCTGATTATAGGTCTAGGATTTCAGCCACTTTAAACCTTGAATTTGGGGATATCATCTACGGAGCAAGTAAGCCATAGGAATTTTAAAAAGATTTAAAAATCATCTCCCCTTAGGGATGCTGCTTTCTCTCTTAAGAAAATGAATGAATGTAAAAGTGCACGTTTCAGTACCTGATCATAACATGACACGTGAAAACAAGGATGAAATGGTAGAGCTGTGGGTATAGTTGGGGGTAGGAGCACTTGGGCACTTGAAACAACACAGAACAAGGTATGGTCAGTGTAGGAGTATTAAAACAAAAAAATCAACTCCCCCCACCCCATTTTCCCCATTTTCTTTTATCTATGTGGCATATGCTAGTGGCAACCACAAGGGAAAACCAACTAGCTGGGCTTGTAGACATCAAAGATGGTAAGTCTTTTAGCTAAGGCTCTAGGAGCAGAATATAATCATGAGATTCATTCACAGCAAGATTAGGCTTGCAGAGAAAGGCAACAGGAGTAAGCTAAGGAGAGATGACTAAAATAGAAGGAGCTCTTGGATTAACCTCTAAGGGGTATTATTTGTGGCACTGTGACCCCATCAAAGCACAGATAATCTAGATTCACTGAATATAAAAAAGCAGTGAAATAGTAAGCATTGCCCTGTAGCCAAGATGTCTGGGTTTGAATCCCGGCTTTACTTCTTAATTAGTTGTGTGACTTGGGGTAAGTTACTTTACCTCTCTTAACCTCCATCTCTTCATCTATAAAACTAGCAATAATCATAGGATTGTTATGAGATAACTAAAGTAAACCACTCAGCATAGGTCCATAGCCTGGAACATAGTATATGGTTACTAATGTTAAAAGCTGTTAGACAAGATGTGATTGAGAAAGAGTCATTGAAGCGAGATACAGATCAGTAGTGAGTGCCTACCTTGGAGTGGGTGTTAGGAAGAGAGCACTTTACTTCAAGAAATACAAGAATAAATGGGAATTCTACAGTGTCCAAGTTAATATGACTGATATTTAAAAAAAATTATATAGCTGAATGAATGTTATACATGCCCTTCAAACAGTGGGAATGCCATTTTCCTCCGCCCTTTCCATGCCACTTTCAAAATACTAGATATGAATAATTGATATTTTCTAAATATGTGAAAAAATATTTAGAACGCTATTTTTATTGATCTGTAAGATACATTTTAAGTGAAACCAGTATGTGTACTATGTAAACACAACCTCTAGCCTCTATTTCCAACCAGACTGAGACCCCCTGAAAATCTTCTGTATAGAAATTTTGCAGCCACCACTGCCTTCAGGTCCTCTCATATCTCCCTTGGATTACTGTAGTAGCCTTCTAACAGATCTCATGGCCACCAATCTTCTCTTCATCTTTCTTTTTTCCACACACTGCCAGTGTTGTCATCTTAAAAAATAAAGTTGATCATCTCACCCCCATGCTTTAAAAACTGTAAATTCCTACTTGCCTACTTAATTGTATACCCACTTCTCTTAACTTTATCCCACAATTCTTTTCCCTATAAGCTACCCTCTACCCATATTGAACTTCTTGAATTTTCTCAGTTAAGTCTGGCCTGACCTCTTCTCCATATCACTTCATTCCTTAATAAACTTCCAGTCATAATAGAAAACCAGTTCAAAGGAGGTGACCCTAGGAGTCACCTTCAGGCTAGTGGTTCTCCTGATTTGGTATGCATATGGGTCATCAGAACTCAAGAAATTTTCTTGAGAAAACTTCTCAACTCCTTCAGAGAGAAGTAATGATTTCCTCCTCGATGCTCCTTGATCAATTTGTCTGTCATTATTGGCAGCATCAGCAACAGTGACACAATCAGCATCATCACTAACTTATTGAAATCTTAGCAGGAACTGGGCTAAACACTGGCTTGAATTAAGTCACTTAATTCTCACTTTACTTCCCCCCCACTGGGAATTTTTAAAATAACACTTGACATAATACTGTTATTTTTATAAAAAAGACACCCCCACCAAGAAAACAACCTCTTTCAGACCAGCATACACATAAAGGTACACCTGTGTAAAACCCAATGCATGAAAATTCAAATACAGCATTAGAGGGTAATCATTCATTTAATGGAATATCCATAACATGCTAGGCACTGTACTAGGTGCTGGAGATGCAAGATAAATAAATTATAGTCTCTTGTCCTCAGGGAATTCCTAGCATAGTAATAATTTCATCATTAAAAAAAATTCACTAAAGTGAATTGCATTTTAATATACATAGCCTCAGAAATCATGTTTGGCATAAAGTGAGGTACCATGTGTAGTAAGTAAGGGATTGTGAAGTGGGACAGGGTTAGTCAAGAAACTTTCTTAGAAGAAATTAGCTTGAATGGGGTTTTGAAAGAAAAAAACTTGGTATGGATTGGTGGAGAAAAGAGAAGTAGACACTTTACACTTAGCCAAATTAATAATCCAAAGGTTGCTTGGTGAACATGGAGGCAGATCAGAAAGAGATGGATTGTCTTGAGGGATATTTCATAGAGGTCATGAGGAGAGAGCCGTGATGAAACATTTCTCCCTTATATCAGAGAATGGGACTCTAGTGACCACGTTTTCTAGATTCAGGGTCACTTTCCATTGGACAGTGCTAGATATACATTGGCTGATCTCATCTCTCTAAACTTCATTTTTTGTTTTCATGCTAACAGCCTTCTATTGACTCAAATAGATGGAGGCAAATATGTAAACAGATAAATGCAATACAAGCTTTACAAGAGTCTCAATCTAATATCCTCTATTATTTTCCTATGTCCTTTTAGTACACCCACACCACACCACTGTTACTCTTGCTACAATTTCTCTAGACTATGCAAGGTTTTAGGAAAGGGGCTGACCTTTAACAATATCAAAGAAATAATTTTCTGTATCCTTTTGCTTTTCTTTGATCACTTTCTCCAGCATTGTTTTCTCCTCTCCAGCTTTTGGCCCTTCTCACAAGGATGGAAATGCTACTCTTTCGTGTCTGGGCCCTGCTGGCCTTGATCCCTTTCCCAGGTGAGGCTATTTGGGGATAGTTTCTTTAGTCAGTATGTACCAGGGTGCAGATGGCTGGCCAATGAGAAAGAGGATAAGAAGTACTGAGTGGGGCAAAAATTGAGTATTCACTTGTCTGGACCCTAGGGAGAGATTCCTATTTTGGGATCATTAGGACACAGAATGTGTAGGTGTCTCTGGCTTATAATTGGGGAACCTGAATTGAGGGACAGGATAATAGACCATTAGAACTCTCCTTAAGACATATGGCTTCTCTCCTTGGCTCCCTGCTGCCCCAGGACCGTCTTATTTTTCCACTCTTGAGAATATTTTTACTTCGTTGTTGCCACCTTCTGTGTCATGAAAAGCTACAATAGGGTCTCGATAGGAGAGGGCCCATAGCTCAATTATGAGAAGCAAGTTCTCTAGATGGCAAGAAAGGAACTGGAGCCTTAGTAGGTAACACTGCCTCATGAGTTGTGTATTCCTAGATGGGACTGGTATTTGGGAGACGAAGCAGATGGTGGACATGGAGTAGCTAAAAGGGACCTGTAGGGAAACTCTCAGAAGACTGCCTCTCACCTATGTCAGGCATCTAAAATTTACCTGATGTCTCTCTCATTGCACCTGAGATTTCCCTAACAGACTAAACTCTTAAGCATCCAAAAACATCTGTTGCCTTAGTACCAAAGCAAAAAGGAATAGTCTCATGTTGAGAAGAGTTGAAAACTCTCTGGGAAATGAATGACCCTAGGAGTCACCTTCAGGCTAGTGGTTCTCCTGATTTGGTATGCATATGGGTCATCAGGAATGCTCGTTCTGTTCACTTGCATTACTTCCGGGTCCCACTTTCACAAGTTCTTAATCATTCAGTCTGAGGTGGAGCTAGAATCTGCAGTTTTACAAGAACCGCAGGTGATTCTGGTGAAGGCAGTCCTTAGACCATAATTTCAAAGAAACACTGCTTTGAGGTATAAGTAACAAAGCTCTTTTCTCCAGGGCCTGATAACCCCTTGAGAGCCCCTCAGCAGCCAATCCTGGGAGCTTCCAAGACATCTGGAAGCTCAGGAAGAGAATGGTTTCCTGGGCATGAGTTTTAAGAACTCCATAGTTTCCAAGGTGACACTAATAGAGAAATCAAGATCCCTAGAAAGATGATGAGTGGAGGGAATGGTGGTGGAATCAGGGTTTTAACTTGTTCATTAAGGGTCTTTTTCTTGTCTAGTTCCTTGTAACTTTTTCTTCAGGATAAGTTTCCTATTTTTAAGATTTTATTTATTTATTTGGCAGAGAGAGAGAGACAGTGAAAGAGGGAACACAAGCAGGGGGAGAGGGAGAGGGAGAAGCAGGCTTCCCGCCGAGCAGGGAGCCCGATGCGGGGCTCGATCCCAGGACCCTGGGATCCTGACCTGAGCCGAAGGCAGGCACTTAACGACTGAGCCACCCGGACGCCCCTAGGTTTCCTATTTCTAACCATCAAATAGAATCAGCTTTGTATTTTATTTGGGTCATGTGTTCCTCACCAAAGTCTTTGGCCTATGTGGTTGATGATTTCAGGGGCTACAGAAGAGACATTTGAGGTTTCTGTTTGGCCAGATCAGGCCCTGGTAAAGCTTGGACAGTCTCTAATGGTCAACTGCAGCACTACCTGTCCAGACCCCGGACCCAGTGGAATTGAGACTTTATTAAAGAAAACCCAGGTGGACAAAGGACCTCAGTGGAAGGAGTTTCTCCTGGAAGATGTCATGGAGAATTCCATTCTGCAGTGCTTCTTCTCTTGTGCAGGGATCCAAAAGGACACAAGCCTTGGCATCACTGTGTATCGTGAGTAGGGCTGAGGAGGAAGGGAAGAGTAGGGGAACAGGACAAGGCCTTATTTAGGGAAAAATTAGAGATTTCTTTTAGGGGAGAGAATTAGGAACCTTAATAGAGATTTCTGTTACACTGTAGGAATTCTAGGGCCAATTACTTCTATTTCCCTTTGGTGTAGGATTTTAAATTAGGAGCAGACCATAGAGGGCATCCAGACATTGTGCTTGAGCATATGTTCAGGTACAGAAGACGTATGCCAATAATGCTGCTTATAAATGATCAAAAAAGTATACAATTAGTGCTAAATTATTTGACACAAATTCTTAGAATAAATAGAGTTTGGAGAAAGGAGGGTCTTTATGGGCCAGGGCAGTTGGAGAAGTCTCCATGGAAAAGGAGGCTCTTGAGCTTCCCTCCTGCAGAACGGTAAGGATTTGAAGTGATGGGGGTGGGTGAGGAAGGTCTTACAGGTGGGAAAGTAGCACTGGCAAGGATACGGCCATAAGAGTGTGACCTCGGTGGGGTAAAAGCTTGGTAGACTAGGGTAGACTTGGTAGACTAGTTTTTGTGTGATGCTGAGGAGCTCCTCAGAAGCTGCTCGTCCCTCTGAAGCACCTCTGGAAGAAAGTTCTCCAGAATGGCAGCAACAGTCAACACAAGGGAATCCCCCTCAGCAGTCATATTTCTTGGCTGTGACCTTGGCCACCTTTCATGAGCAGAAGAGTCAGAAGACTGACTCGTTCCATGTAGGGCAGGGCTGGCAGAAAGCTGACACTGCTGATCAGACGGTTCAAGGGTAATAGTCCCCTTGTATCACAGGCTGCCTGTCCTGTATCATTTCTTTCTGGAGAGGTGAGTAGCCTTCTCTCATCAAGCCCACCTTTTTGTCTTAAAGAGCCACCAGAGCAGGTGATCCTGGAGCTGCAGCCTGCATGGGTAGCCATGGATGATGCCTTTACAGTGAAGTGCCATGTGCCCAGTGTAGCACCCCTGGAGAATCTCACCCTTACCCTTCTCCAGGGTAACAAGAAACTACAAAGAAGGAACTTTATGAGCTTGGCTGTGGCCTCCCAAAGAGCTGAGGTCACCATCAATGTCAAAGCCCAAAGGGCAGATGACAGGTGTAATTTCTCATGCCGTGCAGAACTGGACTTGAGTTCATATGGTGGAGGGCTCTTTCACAGTAGTTCAGCCATCAAGGTACTCCGGATCTTTGGTGAGTCAGAGCCCAGGTGTGGAAGGATCCTGAGGCTCATTTTCCTTGTCTTACCTTGGCCCTTGGGACTAAGTTCCCACAAAGTTTAAGATGAGGGTGTGAGGGTAATTGAGCTCTACCTCTACTTAGGCCTTAAACTTACCCTGGGGGACAGAGTGCTTTTAGCCACACTCCCTTCCTACATTGTGGAGTTCTACATAGCACATGATTTATCATGGTTTTCCTCCTTTCTTTCCTTTTCTTCATTTCTTGGCAGAATTCTCTCAGAGCCCCCAAATCTGGGTCTCCCCACTTTTGGAGATTGGGATGGCAGAGGCTGTGAGCTGTGAGTTGTCTAGGGTGTTCCCAGCCAGAGAGGTCATGTTCCACATGTTCCTAGGAGACCAGGAGCTGAACCCTTTTGTCTCCTGGAAAGGAGACACAGCATGGGCCAATGCCACCATTCAGGCCATGGAGACTGGTGATCAGGAGCTGTCTTGCCTTGTATCTCTGGGTCCAATGGAACAGAAAACAAGAGAGCCAGTGCATGTCTATAGTAAGTGACCTGCCTCTTCCCTTCTGCACGGGGTTTCTCTACCACTGAAATCTTCCACAGTAAAGTCTTGGTGATTCGACAGTAAATATCCCTACTAACCTTTCCAAGGTATACTCTCAAATGAGTTTTCTCTGATGAGTGCAGGCAGGTTGGAGACACGTATTGGGACAGTAGTTCTCTTCAGCCTTCACCCTGTTTCCCCAGGCCATTCTACTTACAGAGTGACTGTGGGTCCTTCAACTTGTTTCTAGAACAACTTTTGAGGTAAAGAGGAAAAATCTGTAAGATGAAAAGCCATCTTGCTGTCCTTGCCACAGAGGCATAGCCAAATGTATGCACACTGCATTTGTTGTAAGAAGAGCTCTCAAATTCCCAAATCTCATTGCTCCTGCCATTCAGCACAGAGGCAGGAAGGTATATAAAGTCTTTCCCATCTTATCTGCCTAGATACCACACCTTCAGCAGCAAGAGTACAGAAGTGGCTGTGAGTTTTGAGAAATATGTTTGGTTCTCTTTTTCCTTTTCTTATAGGCTTCCCTCCACCAATCCTGGAGATAGAAGAATTATATCCATTGGCAGGGACAGACATTAATGTGACCTGTTCAGGGCATGTATTAACATCACCCAGCCCTACTCTTTGGCTGAAGGGAGCCCCAGACCTCCCTGCCCCTGGGGAGCCTGCCTGGCTTTTACTTACCACCAGGGAGGAAGATAATGGCCGAAATTTCTCCTGTGAGGCCTCTATGGAGGTTCAGGGTCAACGGCTGATCAAAACCACTGCAATGCAGCTCCATGTCTTATGTGAGTAGAAGCCTGAACTTTCTGGTCAAAACAAGGATTATTATTAGTCTCATTTCCAGAGGTCTTGGCCAGCAACTTCAATATTAGAGTTATTGTTTTTCTCATTAAAATAAAAAAATCAAAGAAGGAAATAACATTAAAGCTCCCCAAGCTTACCTTAGCCCCAGAAAAGTGAGCAGGGGGAACTGGGAATGGAAAAGAGAATACAAGGTGATCAGATGGTCTTAGTTGAGGGTTGATGGCTGAGGACACAGAAAGTGATAGTTGGGAGTTTATGCTGAGGAGGGAAATTTCCATATAAGAATCTGTATTTTGAAAAGTAGAAAATCTCTCATCTCTGGGGTCGTCCCTACCCATCTCCTCACTCACTGAGAAGCAAAGATGGGAAGTGGGGAAGCCACCATTGATAGGACAACCCAGATCATTTAGTCTGAATCCATTAGAATGCCTTTGCTGCGTCTCAGACTCCTCGCCCCTAGGGAAGGAAAGACAAACATGGCCCAAAGCAGGGAACAGTGGTCCTTCCCTCAGGAAGGAAAGCTGTTGGGTCAAAGGGACACAGTATTTGGATTAGGGGAGGAGGGGGAGCTGAGCCTCTGGGTGAGGAAGGAATGTGGCACACTGAGCTCATTTCTCTGGGGGACTGTCTTCCAGACAAGCCTCGGTTAGAGGAATCTGATTGCCCTGGCAACCAGACGTGGGTCAAAGGGACAGAGCAGACGCTTGCGTGCGTCCCAAAGGGAAACCCAACTCCAACCTTGGTGTGTACCTGGAATGGAGTGATCTTCCACCTTGAGGTGCCACAGAAGGCAACCCAGAACCACACGGGAACCTACTGCTGCACAGCCACTAACCAGCTGGGCTCTGTCAGCAAAGACATTGCTGTCATTGTTCAAGGTGACTGTGGCTCTCCCCTGCTGCCAGGCCTAGGACGGAAATCCCCCAGGAGTTTGGGATTCTTATCCAAACCTGGAAAGAAGAAAAATTCCACTGGGCAGAGGGAGGGTGAAACTGAGAGGTGGGTGTGGTAGGCTGGGGGAGGCAGGGACTCTCTCTGCCCTGTAACCCTCCTGAACTCTGTCTTCTGTGCTTGGGCAGGACTGGATGAAGGAATCAGCTCCACCATCTTCGTCATCATTGTCGCCCTTGGAGTGGGTGTCACCACCATAGCACTGTATCTGAACTACCGGCCTTGCAAAGTAGAGAGGCGGAAATTGCCCTATAGGCAGAAAGAGAAGAACAAAGAGCAGGAAAGCCAGTTTGCTGTTCAGCAAGCAGAAAAGTGCAATGCACATAATTGTTAAATGGGAACAGCTATTTGGTTGAAGGCAACCTCTACTACTGGGGTTTCCTAAGGGAGGAAAGCGGGGAGGAGAAAGGAGGAGACATTACCCTCTGTGTTCTGCAGTCCCACAAAACAGGTGTTTCAGGGTGCCTGGGTGGCTCAGATGGTTAAGCGTCTGCCTTCAGCTCAGGTCATGATCCCAGAGTCCTGGGATCGAGTCCCGTATCGGGCTCTCTGCTCCTTGGGAGCCTGCTTCTCCCTCTGCCTCTCTCTCTCTCTGTCATGAATAAATAAATAAAATCTTTAAAAAAAAAACAAAACAGGTGTTTCAGACCCCCACATCCCTTGTATCTCATCCATCCGCAACCTCAGCTCCCCTGAAGTCACTCTAGTCACTAGAATTTCACTTGCAGTGTCCAGCTAATGAGAGGGCCTCCTGCTCCTTACTGTGTGCTTAATCAGTCCACTCGCTCTTAGACTCAAAAAAGATCCTTACCTTTGCTCCCAAACATCAGACTAAAGAGATAGTCAGAAATATCTCAGAAATGCAACTCATTTCTCTTGGTTCCCTCATGACTAGGTGGAAACCAGTTTCTCAGTCCACAGACAGGACTTCAAAGGGAGTGAATACCAAAGAGATAGGAATCAGAAGCTTATTCCTGCCTACACATTCGCCTGCTCCCCTAACCTGAGGTTCTGGAGTGCTGGCTCCCAGAGCTGAATTTGATAACACCATTAAGGGTCCGTAGGTAGTTAGGCTTCAACTCACTAACCATCTATTGTGTGCCTTGGAGGAGTGTAAAAGTCATAAATTCCATATTGGGTCAGACAAGCAGCTTACCTAACCCCATGTTCTGTCCCTGAAGTGGAAATTAGAGTTCTTCCATTAAACTGGCCTCATAGGTTATGGGCTCCAAACATCTCTGAATTCCTTTTCATAATCCACTATAAAGTAATCATCTGTGAGTTCACATTTGACATATTAATTTTTTAATCTATACAGGCTCTTAGGACAGAGTTCCAGTGTTTTTTCTCCCTTTCCATAAAGAAGTATTTATTTTCATATGTCTGCAAACTATGTCCTTTAAGCTTCAGAACAACTCCTCCTGTGACAATGTTTACCATAGATCTTATGATTTAGCTTCCTTCTCTGTTCTTTGGAAAATATATATTCACCCGTACAGAAGATTGAGGAGTCATAAAACCAGATCTTTTGTCCCAAATCAGTCATGTATGTGTCACTGAAATGTTGTATATAGTAAAAAAATAAAAGTGATTTTACAATATCTGAAAGTATTTCTCTTCTGTGTCATTTTGGAAAACTGTTATTAAGCCACCTGGTTGCATTCTGAGTACAGTTTCTAAGAAAAGGATGTTAAGCCGGTAGCCCGAACAACTAGCCCAGGGCAGGTGGTGAGTTAGCTCAGGGCAGCAGCCTGTTTGACCTGCCCTTAAAACTAAAGTTGAGACCTCCAGATAGAGGTCTGCAGCCTTCCAAATTGTAGACACTAAGAGAAAGAATACAGCATCAGGCATCAAAGTGAAAAAACCTCATTCTTTTCAGATCTTACCTGAGTCTGGGCAGGGAAAGCACAGGTCCTTATGAAAACGCCTAACTCAGGATCAAGGGAGGCTTCCTGGGAGGAGACTGGAAATATCTTGTTTAATTTTCAAAACAGCATCACCCCTGCCTTGCATCAAATGACCTCAGCCTCAATTTTTCCACTAAATACAATAGCCATTGCTCTCTCGTGTGAGAAAATTACTCACTTTTCTGAATTGAGCACTTAGGGAAATAAGGAAGTGGGTTTAAAAGAAAAGAGTATAGAGCAGCCTAATCCAGGAATCTCCAGCCATTTTCAGTGTCTTGGGATCAGCTGCATCAGGTCTGTAGTCACCCCACAGAGCAAACCCCACCTCGAGGCCCCCATACCCTGAGGCACAGTCGAGGCACCAGGGAGAGCCTAGAGGCTCCTGCCTTTGCTTCTTGCTGCCACTTGGTGTCACTGTTGACAGTCCCACACAGGCCATAAAACCTCGTGCTTCCCCGATCCAGGTTCCCAGGTCCACGGCCGTGGAGCTTTCAGGGAGGATAATTCGTTTCCTTGGGCTTGGTCTAGCTAGGGGTGATTCGTTGCATGAATTTCCAGGGTTACAGACCTCACTACTTTAGATTAGCTGTCTAGTAAGGCTCTTCAGATTTTGGTAGGCCTTTCCCTATGTAGACTTGGAACAACTGTTCCCTCTCTTTCTTTCCCCAGGGATCCACACAACCAGGGGGCAGGCAGCCCCTCCTAGTTAATTCTTAAAGTACAAAGGATCTCATTACACTTCTTTTCCAGAATGATAAAGCTGGTCTCTGCCCATTCTTCTGAGGGTGGCTGCCTTGTCTTCAGGGAGCCCCACCCCTAAAAGGTTTGCATATACTCTTTTTCCGAACAATTAGCTCACACTTAACTGCAGCTACCCTGATTATCTTCAGGGGACGAGAGCTACCTTTAATACTCCATAAATTTATCCTCTTAAGAAAGTCAAGTTGACTTTCTGGTGTGTTTCTTTATAGACCTGAGAGAAAACAAGTTAATTCTTCAGTGGGGCCTTCTTACTATAGGGATAATAATACTAGTTACCTAATACAGGATTATAGTTGGAAAGAAATGACAGTACTTAGACACTAGCATGGTGTTGTACATATGTACACAATATGAGTTCTTACTACACTAATAAGGCTGGTGGTAATCATACCCATAATCATCATAAACTCAAAGCAAGAGACAGAAAACCATGGCAGCTATGGAGGGCCATCCCAAGTCACATACACCACGGACACCTTTCTCTTTTCCATTGTGTTCTCTCTTCTATTCCTTTCCCTTTTCCTTTCTCTACTTTTCCCCTTGTTTGTTCCCTACGATGTAGGACTACTAGTAGGATGACCAGTTGTACCAGTTTGCACTGAGCTGAGGTGTTCTGAGATGCTAAAATTAGTAGTCTCATGCAGATGGGGAGGAGTTGATGACCCTAATACTGGTATCACTTGAAGTATTTCTCATGTTTGCTGGGGCCTCCTGAATTAAAGCTGCGAGGCAAAGTGTCATGTTTGTTTGACCCAGATGACCAGGTCCTGTCATTCTGAGGACTTGTGAAGAAAGGGGAAAGTGTCAGTTCTGTTCTCAAATGTGTATAAAGGATCAAAACAATATGTGTTTCAGCAATGCTGATGTAAGTGTTAACCTTAAAAATAAAACTGCCAGTTATATTACCAGCAAAAATGGGTTTATTGGAGAATAGCAGAGAATTGCAATCCAGGACAAGCAAGCTACATGTAGTAAAACCCTAGGCAAGTCTATAGAACAGAGGAGAGGACCAGTCCCTTTATAGACGAAAGGGCGGCGCTGGGAAGACTGTTCTAAACAAAAGGCCCATTGAAGTAAAATGGGAGTTGGAAGTATGGTGGCTTCTCACTGGCTGGGCTGTTGCTGGGGGAGGAGGAAAGCCTTTCTTCTCCTAAGCAGTTGGTAAAGCAATATCCAGGTGCACGGTCTGTCTCCTCTTGGGTCTGCAATTGCCAGGTGGTAGGGTATGAGACCCTGCCGGTCTCCCAGTTCCTTTCTAAACAAGATTTTCTTTGATTAGTTTTCACATTTCCCCTTTTTGATCAAGATCTTTCTTTGAAAGCGTCACTGATCAAGAGTCAGGTTCTCCACATTTCATGGTTTTGTCCCTCAGTACCACGAAGGGCCTTTCCTGGCTGTCATGTTCTAAGTTGGCGGGAAAGTGCCTAGCAGTTGGAAACCACTCAGGCCACATTTGAGTAACAAGGAAGGTTTGGAGGGAGAGCTCTCAGGTACTTCCCACCTGAGAGCTCTCCCACCTTCCCACCTTGATAGTCCAGACTTATCAAGACTGTATGCACTGGAGATCATCCCCAAGGGTTGAGCCAGCATCACCTTATTGGGTACATTGCTTTTAAAAGTCTGATAAGCAACAAAATACAAAACTCAAAATAAGGATACAAAACAGAAAAAAGTAACATTAACAATTCCACATCATATGATGGTTCTAAACCAAGAGCTGATGAACTTTTTGCAAAACAGCAAACTTTGAAAGCTGTTTAAAAACAGCATTTTTGGGCGCCTGGGTGGCTCAGTCGTTAAGTGTCTGCCTTCGGCTCAGGTCATGATCCTAGGGTCCTGGGATTGAGTCCCACATCGGGCTCCCTGCTCGGCGGGAAGCCTGCCTCTCCCTCTCCCACTCCCCCTGCTTGTGTTCCCTCTCTCGCTGTCTCTCTCTGTTAAAAAATAAATTAAAAATCTTAAAAAAATAAAATAAAAACAGTATTCTTATCTCAAAAGAACTGTTTGAAACAAATGTGTTATTGATAATACAGCCTCTAAGGTGGCAAAGACCATGAAGTTCAGAGACCATGAATTTGGATAAGAGTCTAAATTCAGCTAACAGTTCAGATAAAAGAAGGCTTTGTGAATTCTGAACCTTCTAATCCTTCAGAAAAAGCAAGTGTAAGATTAATTTGTGCTGGGATCATTATGAGGCTGTTTCCAAAAGCCCATAATCAAAAGAGGTTTCCCCCTTTTGCGCGGGCTTAGAAAATGCAGACAAGGGCATCATCTTTCCACAAAAAAAAAAAAAAAAGAAGCAGCAGCAGCAGCAACAGTGAGGAAAACGTATACAGGCCTGCCCTGACATCTTCGAAAAGTGGTCCCATCAGATACCACCTGCTTCAATTCTGGGCAATCTTACCTTCAGGTCACCAGAGGGCATGCAGGTCCAGTCAGGGTTTGGTGCTTTCTTTAGATGTGTCACATGAATTCAAGAGTCTATTCTCTGGAGTTTGGTGGCATAAGAGTTGTTTAGAAGTTCCTGATAAAGTCTTTTCCAGCGAGGTTGAAGAAAGCCTTTCCGGAGGTGTCTTTTCCAACAGATGAAATAAATCTCTAGGTTGCAAGGTGTGAGGCTTAAGATTATCATCTCCCAGGAATGGACCATGAAAAGACAGCTACACCAAAGCATGGTTATTTTAACGAAGCAGTTAGGCCCTTGCAATACTGAAGTGTATCTTCTTCTGTCAACTGGGGGTCCGTGGAGGCAGGGGCCAAGGGTATCGGACGTCTTGGGACTACCTCAAACA